CTTCCCAAGCAACCGGTACCTCTTCCTCCTTTTGGAGGGAACATCATTGCAGACTCTGATGTTGCCCCTACAGGCCCTAGACTCAGACTGGTACCCGCTAGACCTAGCCTACACTACCGGCCTCTAAAAATGCCACTTTTGTCTTCTTCTGCTCGGCCTCCGGTACCTGCATATTTACCCCCCTGCCAGATGCGGTACCGGCCTACCCGCTACTTGAGTGCTTTTCCCTGCTGCAACCCTTCGAAGCCACGGCCACAGGTAAGTACCGGCCCTGAGGGCCCAATGAACGAACAAGTGCCCTGGCGGGCCACACACACACACACTCATACCAACCAGCACTCAAACAGGCATGGTCACACACGCAGCCAACCAGCACTCAGACAGACATGCAGTCCAGCAAGCACACACACACACAGACTTAGCAGGCGGGGAACTCAGTAGGGCATTCAGTCTATGAGCAAAACTCAAAAATCAGTTGTGTGTTTCAGTCTGTGTTTGGACGGGTTATCACATTCCGGATTTCCAACAACGAAATTCGAATTTTCAGCAGAAAAACGAAAACGGAAATTTCAGGTGTTGCGCTATTGCGATTTTCCACAACAAAAATAGTGGGAAAACAAAATCCAAGAAAAGAAAAAAAATTTGATTTTCGGCAGTGAGGTCAAAATCGTGGTTTTGGGGGCTAACTAGTGTGCTGTAATCAATCAATCAAGACTAATCAGCTACCTAGTCCCCGCACATGTGTCAGATCAGGTTGTCCTGATTCACGTGCGGTGTTCCGATACCAACTGTTACAAGCCCAGCTGGGCGATGTACATATAAAATCCAGGATCCGTAATGTGATAAAAAGGACTGAATGGACAATGTAGTGCAAGTAGAATCTCAACAAGCGATGTACATTTTGATACATACGAAAATGGTGCTTTACAGCGCAGGGAAGACCTAGATACAAGTCCTGACCTGACCGAGACTGACCTCTCTCACGTAGTACAAGATAGCGCAGCAGAATGCTAGAATACCAATGTCGAACCCAATCAATGTTGCAATGCAGACTAAACATACATCATCTTCATCACAAGGTGTGAAGGAGGCCTGGCGCTACGCACAGGGAGAATGCACCAGGTCCTGATCATGCACAAACGAAAAGGAGGGGAACAGCCGACGAGGAGGGGGGATATGGGAAAGTCGTCAACACCAAGTCTTCGTTACAAGTCCCAAATAATCCCTCGCCAAAATGTCTGAAGCCCAACATCGAGTCTGGATCCAAGTGTCACCAAGCTCTCTCTCTCTCGTAGTCTGCTGATGCAGTAAAGTCAGACAGTGAGAGGGTGAGAGGGAGATGGTGGTCTGAGAAGAGGAAGAAGAA